ATGATCTTTGATCTTTAGCAAACTGCAGATGGGCAGCAATGTTCTTTTTGGAGAGCAGTGGCTTTCTCCTCTGCCATGTGCCATGCCATGCCATTGTTGTTCAGTGTTCTCCTGATGGGGGACTCATGAACAGCAACACCAACTCTTTTTCTGAGGTCCTCAGAGATCTCATTGTGCAATGATACACTTCCACAAACATGATCAAACTTTGATAGATCCTTGTTCTTTAAATAAAACAGGGCACACAATGACACCTGATAGTCATCTCACTGAATAATAACACCTCTGAACAGATAAACCTTCAAATTAACAGCAAATCCTAGAGATTCACATACTTTTGCCGCTCACAGATATGCAATATTGGGTCATTTTCCTGAATAAATAAATGACAAAGTATTTATTTTCATCTCATTTGTTTTATTGGGTTCTCTTTGTCAACTTTCAGGACTTGCATGAAAATCTGATGATTTTTTGGGTTATATTTATGCAGAAATATAGACAATTCTAAAGGGTTGGCAAACTTTCAAGCAGCACTGTATATATATATATAACTGGCTCCTCATTTTAAAACACCACCGCACGCCACTGATAAGACGCTGTTCAGTGAAGCTTTGTGAACACAAATAAACCTCTGCAGACATGACTGAATATGAATGTGTGGTGAATTTCTATATGACACATACACATTTATTATTTTGCACTCCTGACATAAATTAAACTACTGTCACTGCAACAATGTTTTATCAAAAAAAAAAAAAAAAAACGGTGGTCAAATATCACAGCTAGAGTCTTTAATCTTTCTACTGATGCACCGTTTGTCCAGATCAGGTAAGAGTGTGATGTTTTAACGTGCTTTGATCATGAAACAACAGTAATCTGAGGCCGTCGCCGATCTTTGTCAGTTAAGGGGTTGATAACTATGACTGGGACTGTCATATACATAATATTATAATGAGAACACTATTATAATAAAACGCTGTGAATTTTTAGAGTTTAGTTGCCGTGTTTCGGCACATTGTTGAACTCGTCCACAAAAGGAGTTCATTCAGAGCCACGCAGACATGTTCATGTGCATTCGAGGCATTTTGTGCAGATAGCCTATAAGTCGTAATATTAATGTTATGTTGTATAAATAACAAAGCGTATTCTATATGAGATAAATGAGTTAAATCCCATTGATTAAAAACCTGCTCATATTCATTCTACTGGTCATCTTCAGCGCGCAGCTCAAAACAAAAATGCAGAACATTAATAACTACTGTGACATAACGTTATAATGAGAGCACTTGTAAAAATGTTGTGAATTCTTAGGGTTTAATGTTAACTATCTTTTAATCAAAACATAAAACATTATTTACCCCGTTTGTATCTGCAAGGCGTCCGTTAGACATTTTCCCTGTGTGTTAACGTCAGTATTTATGACTGTCGAATGTCTGACTTGACTCTTGGTAATGTAATTTGCCCCACCCCCAAACATATGATTTGACTATCAGTCGACTATCGGCAAGATTTGAAAATTCAAATTTGACTATGTAAATCTTTAGTCGGGGACACACCTATATGTTACAAGCATTTTTATAAGTTAACTTGTAAAGTCACAACAAATTTGAAGTGAAAAGTTACCAACTGAAACTGCTGATGTACATTATTCAGCCTCAATTAATCATTCCCTGAAGTCTTCCAATCCTATCCAGAACACTTTTTTCGGATCTTTCCAGATCTTTAGCGCTCCACACTACAGGTTTCCTAAAGGTATCTGCCCGAAAATAACCAATGCATTTTTACAATCAGCCCACCAGAAACAGATGTTTACAGGATGCGGGCATGAGGTGGAATTCAGGACACTCTCAAACATGTAGCCTAGTACTACTGACCTACTTTTTCCCAAGCAGACATTACCATCACTGAGACTCCCACATATAGATGATTGACTGATATGAACTGGACAATATTTATAGCCAGAGTCACTGGTTAGTTAGATGTTCAACATTCCATTACATCATACAGAGCTTTTCCCGTATGTCACTGAGCATCCCATAGTGTGTGGAAATTTCCTTATTTGGTCCAAATCCCATTGATGTCACACTTTCAAATCTGTAAAAGCATTAAGGCAAGTTAACAACGCATAATTAAAAAAAAAATGTTAAACTCCTATCTATGATCCAGCTTTTGCTCTGGAAATGGAAGCAAAACAGGGTCACAAAAGCTGATTGGCAACTACATCAAAGAGTGGTGACCACACATTTGATTGTTGAAGCAATTGTACTGCTTGCTCTGTTGTCAAATTCAACCAGGCACAACGACAGGCAATGTGTATGTCTACCCTGACCTCAAAAACATTGTCAATCAGAACAGTTCCCTTGCACTCCTAATGCTCTGCAGCAGAAGAGAGTAAAACTAAGAAAACACCCTGTATTTTATGATTTGCATGTTTCTTTCTCTCTGATTTACCACGAGGAACTGAAAAGACTTGTCATATAATATCCCATTCCAAAGTCCATAACGTAACTCAAAACTCCAAACATCGGTGCAAGGTGAAACGTTAACAGCTGCATGATGAAGGACAGAGGCCCTAAAGACCATGCACTACTGGTGAGATGAAACTTGCTCATGTGAGGCATCTTAAATCAACCAACTGTGCAAGATTAGGATGGCTATTCCTGTTTGTTGAACAGTGGCAGCTATGGAGAACCACTTAGCGCTGCTTTAAAGTGCATTGGCTTTTGTTGTTAGTGGAATTGTATTTCCTGATAAGAGTGCTCAACTCTGTTCTTACCATCTAAAAGACTTACGACTGACCAAACACCCTCAACAAGGAGAACAGACACACTAAGGTGTACTGAACAGATACCAGAAACTTGGGAGATTCTCCTAAAGTCAGAAAGCACTGGATGACAGCATGTCCCAACATCCGGACTTTGCATGTCATTAGCACATTTTGCTTAGCTCTGTGATAGATGATCAGATGCTCATGACATTATGGACCAGGGGTGGAGTTTTGCATTATCCTAAAATAAACTGTTACACTTTAGTTTAAGGTGTCCTTGTTACAGTGTCATTATACATTTAAGTACTGAGTAAAATTAATTACATGTACTTACTATATGGTTAGGATTAGGGTTTGTCTTAGGGTTACTTGCATGTAATTATGCATCATTTATTGTTATTATAATAGTAAGTACATGTCATGTGTATAACAAGGACAACGTCAAATAAAGTGTTACCAATAATCATTCTTTAATTCTTATCCTCAGTTTTTCAACATGCCACTCCCTCCCCAGACCTGATATAGATATGTCAGTCATGGTGCTGTCACAGGCAGCAGAAACAGCCACACACTTTCTTTTTTGACTGACAGCTTACATCTGCCATTTAAACAGTCCTCACATAATATTGCTTCTTAATGTAAAATGTATTTGATGCACTAAAGATGAGCATTTGATTTTATAAAAAGGTTTTAAAACATTAAATGCACTAAGATGGAAGGATGCAAGTACTTACCCACTTCAGAGACCACCCCTTTTGGCTATCTCATCCTTGTCCTATTCACTGTCAACCAGAATATTTTCTAGTGCCCTTTAAAGGTAGACATCCAAATCCTCTCAGACTTACTTCTTTTCTTTTCTTTTAAACTGTTGTTAAATCTGTGCTTAAAAGAGTATATAAAAGCAAACTGATACTTCCACGTCAGAGCGACCTGAGTGCTACTGCGCCAGAGTCTGGATTTCAGCTGACTGTGCTGGAATCAAAGCTGTTGACATTGCTCCCTCCCTCTCTCACATTGCTCTCTCACTCCCTCCCCTCCCTCTCCCCTTCTCTGGAATTCAGGCTTAGCACATGACAGCATGCATGTGTATATCTGTAAACCAGCATGAGAAGAAATGGAGTGAGAAAGCAGCATGTGAAGTAATGACACTCCTAATGTCACTAAAGCCTCCTTCTAGTCATATTCCCAATCTAGGCTGCAAGAAGAAAAGATCGGAAATTAGGGAACTCAATTCCTGCATGTTCTCACCATTTTTATAGACTGGCGTATGTTGATGTCTAATAAGAACTAGCAGCATTGAGATTGTTTGTCAAGCAGATCTAAATGGAGTGCATGACCCAAAAAATCTCAGCTGAATGTCAGATTTACACTGCTACATCCTTATTATATAAATCAACATTGTGAGTAAATCACTCACATATCCAACTAAATTTCACACTAGGAAACTAAATGTCTATCGTAAGCCATTCATATTAATTTGCCATTGGGTTAGAGGCAAAGAAGTTTAGCACAGATATATTTCACTGTGTATTGTGTCATATGCAGTGGCGCAAAAAGGGGGTATGCAGTATATGCAGTGCATAGGGTCGCCGCACGGAGGGGGGTGCCATTTTGCCGAAATCATTCTTTGAAAATCTTCTTGAATAAAACGTTATAAATAATCAAAAGCTTAGTTGTTAAAAAATAATGTAATGAAAAAAATGTATTTAACGGTTTTTAGCATTTTTAATGAGTTAAAAAATGTATAATAAACTGAGTACATATCAACCAAGCTTAGTTGTTAAAAATAATGCAATGAAACATTTTTATTTAACGTTTTTTAGCATTTTTAATGCGTTCAAAATGTATAATAAACTGAGTAGGCTACATATCAACCCGTTACTGTCACAGACAGAGTCAGATGAATAGAGGAGAAAACGCTCTGAGCGCAGAACAGAGAAGACAAGGAGAAAAGAACAATGCGTTAAAATAAGGACAGCAATATCCAAGTGAACTAACAGAAATTGGTAAGCTCTATAAAGACTATAAATTCATTCAACATTTAATGTTGTTGCTTAAGATGGCAAAGTGATTAACGTTAATATCAGTTCATTTCTGAGTATCTGTTGCTCAAAAAATAAAAAAGTCACGCTATGTTTGTGAATGGGTGTTTGATTCACATTTGAGAGGAACTGAGATTATTAACAAGGATACAAACAAGCCACCTTTCGCCGAAAATTGCCATTTTTACAAAATAGGCCATTTGTGTGATTCAAGTAGATCAAGTAGAGTTTTTTAATTTTTTAATTTTTTTAATTCTTGCTACTTAATACTTCGTATAAAACAATGCTGAACTTTGATAAAGAGGTGATTTTTAAATGTTATAATAGTGATTTTATAATATCTAAATATAAATCCAAAATCAAAGCATGTGAAAAGAGCTATATTATGGAGTGGAAATGGTAAATGAGATAATGAATGATCCTCTGCTGCAATCTAGTGGTTATAGTGGGAATATCATGAAATTCATTTCAATAGTATTTGTATTTCTACCAGGTGGCAGAAATCTTCCACTTAAGCATAGCAAATTTTCCATGAATTATATATAAGTAAAAATTAAGTATAAGTATAAATGCAGATGAAATTACCTAACTAAAAAGCGTGCAATATTTAATGTGTTTGAAGAAATATAGGCCTACTTAAAAAAAAAAAAAGCGTTATACTGTCTAGGGTCAGCCATCGGTTTAGTTTAGTTTAGTTTATTTGTAAAGTACATTTTAAAACAACAGAAGTTGCACCCAACGTGCTGTACAGAGGTAGTAAAACAAAATTAGAACAAAATTAAAACAGAATTAATACACTGGATCAAAACCTTGGAGACAAATGTAAAAATATAAACACCCTCAATTAAAACATAAAGAATACAGATACGTGTTTAGGGAAGATTTAAAACAAGAAACAGAAGAGGAAGATCTAATATTGAGAGGGAGACTGTTCCAAAGTCTGGGAGCTGCCACCGAGAAAGCCCGGTCACCTTTAGTTTTGTAACGTGAGCGAGGAACAGAAAGAAGGAGATGATTGGAAGAGCTTAAGTGTAATGTGGTGTTTGGGTTTTGTTTCATGTTCTTGTTTTGAAAGAAAAAATACCATCTAAACATTTCTAAAGACAGTAAGTTCCCCTCAGACATACATTCATATAAACTCCTATCCCTAAATGAATCGCGATTTGTTTAGCATCTCCACCGATTTTAAATCGTCACATATTTGAATCGATTTTCAACCGGCTCGCAGTTAATCGTTACATCCCTAGTTCGCACTACGCTCGCCTTCAGTGAACTTTCGTTACAGAAAGCTAGACCCAGAACAAAATGAACCCAGCAGTTTCACGCCGCCTCTGCCTGCGTCAAAGCAACCGGGCCATTGAGGAATATGTTCAGGACTTTCGTGGACTGTGCCATTTGGTGGCTTTTAATGATGTGGCCCTTAAGGACATTTTTCGAGTGGGTTTAAATGAACCCATTCGTTCTCAGTTGCCTGGGGGAAAGATTTGTTGGTCACTGGAGAAATATATTGACTATGCTTTGTTGCTAGCTGGTTCACCTCTTACTGTTGGGATGGCTGAGGAGCCCCGCAAATGTGCTGTACCCTCTGCACCAGAGCATACTCACATCCCGACTGTCTTGTCTGGTGTTGTTAACATCACGCCTGCCAAGCCACAGCCTGCACACGTCATGCCTGCTATGCCAAAGCCTGCTCACATCATGTCTGCCAAGCCACAGCCTGCTCACGTCACGCCTGCTACACAATATATAGACTTTGCTCTGCAGTTGAGTGGATCTGCTTTCACTGTGGGTGTCGTGGAGAAGGAACATGGCACTAAACCAGAACCAGAGCCTGCTCATGTCACGTCTGCTACACCAAAGCCTGCTAACGTCTTGTCTGCCAAGCCAGAGCCTGCTAACGCCATGTCTGCTACTCCAGGACCTGCTAACGCCATGTCTGCTACTCCAGGACCTGCTCAAATCATGCCAGTTAAGTCAAAGTTTACTCCTGTCATGTCTACAAAGCCTGATCACTAGTCAAAGGCTAGTCAAAGCCTGATCACATCATGTCTGTCAAGCCAGAGTCTGATAACATCATGTCTGCTACCCCAGGGCTTGCTCATGTCATGCCTGCCAAGCCAGCGCCTGTTCACGTCATGCCTGCTACGCCAAGTCCTCTTCACGTCATGTCGGCCAAGCCAGAGCCTACCCACGTCATGCCTGCCACGCCTGAGTCCCCGGCCAAGATGGCCGCCACGCCTGAGTCCCCGGCCAAGATGGCCGCCACGCCTGAGTCCCCGGCCAAGATGGCCGCCACGCCTGAGTCCCCGGCCAAGATGGCCGCCACGCCTGAGTCCCCGGCCAAGATGGCCGCCACGCCTGAGTCCCCGGCCAAGATGGCCGCCACGCCTGAGTCCCCGGCCAAGATGGCCGCCACGCCTGAGTCCCCGGCCAAGATGGCCGCCACGCCTGAGTCCCCGGCCAAGATGGCCGCCACGCCTGAGTCCCCGGCCAAGATGGCCGCCACGCCTGAGTC